TGGCATTTGTAGTTTGTAATGGGTCTTAGCTCCGGTGGGGGTACATGTATAGGTCCACGTTTTCGTATAACCCCCCCCCCCCCACACACATAATGGTACCTCCCGATATTCCGTATTTTGATCATTTTTGCCACATTTTCCCACGGATTAGCAGTTCATAATGGGTTCCAGTTACGGTGGCATTTCGGTCCGGCCGAACTTAATGTTTTTATACCCTCTACCATACTATGGAGGGTATATTAATTTTGTCATTCCGATTGTAACTCATCGAAATACTCATGTCAGACCCAACAAAGTATATATATTCTTGATCAGCGTAAAATTCTAAGACGATTTAGCCATGTCCGTCTGTCTGTCTGTGTGACTGTCTGTATGTCTGTCTGTCCGTCTGTCTGTCTGTTGTAATCACGCTATCTTTCGAACAAATTGAGATAGAAGACTAAAATTTTGCACACATGTATATTTTGCGAGTAGGCAGGTTAAGTTCGTAAATGGGCCATGTAGGTCCAAGTTATCATATAGCCCCCATATAACGGTACCCCCCGATATTCGGTATTTTGATGATTTTAACGACATTATTTAACGGAATCGTTTCAAATTTGGTATTTGAAGTTCGAAATGGATGCTACATCCTAAGTCAAAAAATGAGCCATGTAGGTCCACGTCTTCGTATAGCCTCCATATACCGTACCCCCCGATATTCGGTATTTTGATGATTTTAGCGACATTATTTACCGGGTTTGTTTCAAATTTCGCATGTGAAGTTCGTAACTGATACTTCAGCCCATGCCAGAAAATTGTCTGTGGAGGTCCACGCCTTCGTATAGCCCCCATATAACGGTACCCCCGATATTCGGTATTTTAATGATTTTAGCTACATTTTAAACAGATTTTTCTTCAAGTTTCGCATTTAAATATTGCAATAACTTATGCAAAAGTTGCCTATGCAGGTCTTCGTCGTCGTATAGGCATTCGGTTATTTTAAGATTTTAACAAAATTTTAAACGGATTTTATTTATTTATTTATTTATTTTTTTTGTACCAAATGGTGGATGGTGTTAAAAGTTCGGCCCGTCCGAACTTACAGCTTTTTTACTTGTTTTACCTGTTATCAATATAGGTCCACCTTTTGGCATAGCAGTTATATAATGCAATATAATGACCTAAATAAGTTTGTCCTGAGAACTCAAAACTCTTTTGGGATTTTGAATAGGAAACACCCAATCTGGAATTGCACAATCCTTATTAAAAGAGGACCCTAAAAAAGTTTGTGGCAATATAAACGAAATCCTGAATTCATAATCAAAGTAGAGACAAAAACCTTGCGCTTTCGAAGCCATCCAAAAAATTGTGACAATATAAAATGACGCCCAATCCGGTACTAAAATATCCTAAAATATGATGCTCCAGCAAACAAAGGATGGTAAAGTGGCGCTCAGCTAAATCTAAGAAAATATATGGGAATCTTATTGATATGTCGATATTTTAAACACGGATCTCATGGATTATAAAAAGCGTGGCCTTGGGCTTCCGAAGCCATCCAAGATGATCCTAATCATGAATGACACAATTCTTGTTTCAGAAAGATCCGAGAGGTTGGTAAGCATCAATGTTTAAATTTACAAACACATGCAGAGAAGTAAAAGGCACCCAATCAAACACCGTGAAACATTCGGATCACTTATTCATATTTTACAATTTAAAATACCGAAATACCGAAAAATTACAAAAATACCGAATTATTACAAAAGGATCCCAAAAATATCAGTTAGCTAGGTGGACATCTTGTGAACCTTTCGAAGATTATTTTTTGCACCCTTCCGATTCCTATGCTTTCTAAGATATGTAAAAAAATCTAAAAAAATCTTTTTACAAAATTATAAACTGGGACTCAACGGAAATAATACGGCTCTAATTTCTAGAGGATCCTATAAAACGCCCATAAGTATTAACGTAAATCAGAATTTACAACTATACATTGTGACATGAAATGGCGCCCAATTAAATACAAAAAATTTTATTAAAATTTCGAAGATTTTAAACGCCAAGCAGGCGTTTTGGAATGAATATGATTGTTTTACCCCATGTAGTAGTGTTAAGGCTGCAGTGCGATTTTATGATGCTTAGGGTCAGTTTTATATCAGACGGATTAAAATGTCTGGAAAAGGCCGAGTTTTTTTCGTAGACTGGAAACCGAAACGATCTTTAAATGCTGCAGCGGACTAGACTAAATGAGCGAATATGGGTGAATGGCGCGCAACGAAGAAGAGCGATATAATTTTAGTTTTGCACTAACAAAGAGAGAGAGAGAGAGAGAGAGAGTCGCGCCCAATCGAATAAATCATCTTTACCGAATATGAATTATTGGCGCCCAATTAGAAATGAGCATCCGGGGTATGATTGTAAAACATGTATAAAATGATAAAAGGGTACACTCTCAAATGATCCTAGCGGAATCGCAAAAAAGAAAATGTATTAGGACCTAGTTGAAAAATATATAAAATGATCGATCTAGTTTAGATGAAGCTTAGATGTTGCACTCACAAACGGTTTTAGCAAAGGAGACTAGCGCCTAATGGAATAAATCACCTTTACCGAACACTGATGATTGGCGCCCAATTACCATGCTTGTCAAATAAATACATAAAATGTACGGATAAGTTTAGATGGTGCACTTCCAAACGATCTGAGAGGACTAGAGTGACGCGCAATCGCAAAAAATCACCTCTGATGGAGTGTGGATGATTGGTGCCCAATTAAAAATTAGCGTGCTCTCACTCACTCACAAAGTGTCTAAACGGAGTGGGCTAGTGCTCAATTGAATAAATCTCTTTTACCAAATGTGGATGATTGGCGCCCAATTAGAAATTAGCATCTAGAGTATGGTTCAGATGGTGCACTCTCTAACGATCCTAGAGGATAAGATAGGCGCCCAATTGCAAAAAAAACTCAAATTTGGGAGAGTGTGAATGATTGGCGCCCAATTAGAAATAAGCGTATTCCAGAGCTTGTCAAAAAAAAAAAAATAAAATTTGCGATCTAGTTTAGATCAAGTTTAGATGCTGCACTCACAAAGTGTCTAAGCGGTTTCGGCTAGCGGTCAATCGTATAAATCACTCTTACCGAATATGGATGATTGGCGCCCAATGGGAAATAAGCTTCGGAGTTATGCTTTTCGAATAAATGCATAAAATGTACGGACAAGTTTAGAGTGCATTCTCAAACTTCCCAACAACCTAGACTGACGCACAATCGCAAAAAAATCAAATTTGAGAGAGTGGGGATGATTGGCGCCCAATTAAAAATGAGCATACCCCGGAATTTGTCGAAAAAAAATATTAAATGAGCGATCTGGTTTTGATCAAGTTTAGAAACTGCACACACAAACGTTATAAGCGGAATGGGCTAGCTCACAAAAAACCTTAGGTGAATATTGATGATTGGCGCCCAATTAGAAATTAGCGTGCCCCGGAGTTTGTCGAAAAAAAAAATAAAATGAGCTATTTAGTTTGGATCAAGTTAAGATGCTGCACTCAGAAACGGTCTTAGCAGACTAGGCTGGCGCCCAATCGAATAAATCACCTTTACCGAATATGGATGAATGGAGCTCAATTAGGAATGAAAGTCCGGGTATGCTTGTCAAAAAAATGTATAAACTGATTAGATGGTACGCTCTCAAACGATCTGACCAGACTAGGGCCAGCGCCCAATCGTAAAGAATTACCTTTTGTGAGAATGTGGATGATTGGCGCCCAATTAGAAATGAGCGGAGTACGTTCATTTCTTATTGGGCGCCAATTGTCGAAAAAATGTAAAATGAGCGATCTAGTTTAGATCAAGTTTCCATGCTGCACTCACAAACGATATAAGCGGACTGGGCTAGCGACCAATCACAAAAAACGACCTTTGGAGAATATTGATGAAAATAAGCAATTTTGCACTAAAGAGAAAGAGAGACGCCCAATCGAACCGAATATGGATGATTGGCGCCCAATTAGAAATGAGCATCCAGGATATGCCTTTCAAAAATATAATATGTGTTTTTAATATTTGGCCTGTTCCAGAACTGCAAGAATGTAAAAGTTTTTACTACGATAACCGATTTTCCCTTTATGATATCGGAGAAAATTGCAAAGCTAACAGATTCTTGCAGGTACTGGAACAGAGCATTTGAGTTGAAACGAAATCGACTTTAGCTTGAAAAATGAAAACTCAAAACCGATTTTTAGCTAGTTGAACAAAACCGAAAGGTAGACTTCCTTACTGAATGCGAAAATCGGAAATTAATACCTGAAATTCAGAACAAAAGGCAATATATCCGAAATGAGATCAATTTTCAACCAGTCGTAATTGTAAAGTTTCTAGCAAAACAAAATGGAAACTCTCCCAACTTTATTCTATTCTACCCAATAACATCCGATTCTCCTCTCAACCATGCAACTCAAACATAATTCGCTGTTATCCAAAAACTAAATCTCCTCATAGACTTGTTACAATTAGAAGCGCATAAAAGGCGATTAAACAAACGGTAAATTGGCAAAAATGCAGTGGCATGGAACTGATATGTTCGAGATAAGTATTGTTATAGAGGATGGAGGAAATGGAGGAGAGCGGTACCACTCGCAAAAAAAGAAAAAACCAACGTTTAAAAATTCTCAAAAATGAAAACAAACAAAAAAAGAATCATTGAATGAAATAGAGCTCCATATGAGCTTGTTTTTTTAATGAATGAAGATGGATTCCAACATGGACTGATGGATGGATGGATGGATGGATCGTCGTATTGTTGAATGTTATAAACAATACATGAGAGCGTAATGCAATCACCACCGGCCGCCATGGCATGCAATAATGCATCAGATGGCGGATGGATGAATGTGCATCATTGTTATGATAAATTATGAGCGGCAATAGTTTTTCCAGTTATAAATAACATATAAGCAAAAATAACAACAACAACAACAATACAAATGTCATGGTTAAATGATTACAAAACTTACCTGGTTGGTCTCTGGTGGGGATGATGCGATGAAAAACGTCTAAATTCCAATGGGATTCAATGAAGATTTTTTTAGCTATTCCAATAGGTTTGAAAAAGTGGGTATTAGGAAGTTTATATCCAATGAGATGACAATTGTTGGGTAATGGGAAACCCCTGTAGATTTTTTGGTGGAGAAATATTTTTTCTTGATTTTATTTTTTATTTTTAGGTTGTCATTTTTTGGCACAGGATTGTTAGAATTTTCTTTAACTTTTTCGATTTTTTTTTATTTTTGTTTTTTATTGGCCTCTGGAATAATTAGAAAAATATTAAATTATTTATACAACAAACACTCTCACTGCAATGTTTTATTGATTTCTTTCCTATCTCTCGGCACATTTTTCATTTTTTTGGTACATTTTCAACTGTTTTCAACGGTTGGTGTCAAATTCCTGAGATAGTTTTTTCTCGTCTCTCTTAGTTCTGGGCCTCAATTCTTGTTCTATGAAAATGTGAAATGAAAACTTTTATAGAGGAAAGAAGTGTCAAATGAAAAAAATTATAAAGAATATATTTTTCATTTCATATTTTCATAAAACAAGAATCCAGCCCCTGGATTTGTAAATTACTCTCACTCTCTTCCTCTCTCTATCTCTTTATTCCTTTTTGAATTACAAACTATAATAGGCTCTGTGACAACAGTGTTGTGCAAAAGTTTTGCAACATGAAATGTAAAATTGATATCGGATGAATCTGATGTGTATTAGGCGTCCCTAAATGACGTAGCACTGTAGAATAATAAAGGCCAAACCATAAAAGAAGTAGTTTCCTGTGAAGACTTGAAATGTCGAATTACAACTTATTTCTTTGGGAAATACATCTCAAACTTCAAGTTATAAATCGGGAGAAACCATTACCAAATTCTAGAGATGAAAATCAAAAATTAAAAACTATACCAAAAATCTTAAATCGAAATTAACTCGACTTTGATTTGAAAAGTCAAAATCGAAAATTGATTTTTAACTGATTGGAAAGAAAAATCGAAAAGCCGACTCTTGTTTTTGACTCTGTATCCCTGACGTTCCGCACATCGTCATCAATTGGCGCCCAGTAGAAATTGAGACGATATAAACCATCCTACACGTAATTGAGACGTCAAAACAGCCGACCTACTTCAGCAGGAAGGGATAGGGGTAAATTCCAAGGACTGCTTTTACGTCGTGAATCTTATTCAGACATAATATGATCTACATTATCTAATTGCTCTCTCTTGCATTATTGGACTCCTCTCTCTAGATCATCCCTGGTTCTATCGTCCATATAATGGTTTGGATTACTCTCACGGTAACACCCAAACAGGTAGCACAACGAGAGTATATGATTCTGCTGACGTAAGGGAAGAACATTCGTCTTCTCATGTAGATGGCCAACTGAAGTCATGAAGAGCCACCCTCTTTCAGTGCTCTGGAAGCTCTTCTCCCTTGCGTTGTATTAGTATTCGCAGCCCAAACTAAAAGCTTCCTAACAGCTCCTCAAGTGCTGCCCGCTAGTTCTTTGCCACCTTGTTCCTGCTTTTCAATTTATCGCAAATAAATTTGGCTTGACCCCGTGGAATAGTTAGAGATCGCAGTCATGTACACCATGGCCTACACATTCAGCTGCATTAGCGATCCCGCAGTCCAAGCCGTTGATTTAGTGACGGATATTTTCATATGCCTCGCCTGTGTTCGGACATAATGTTCCGGAATTCCACGTACGACTGGCGTCCACACATAAAGTTGATTATCGAACAGCAATAATTTTGAGCTCTACAGTGCCGACGGAAACCATTTTAATGGCCAGCAACGAGATAGCTTCCACAAATACTGTATAACTACCATTTCTGGCATCCTGCCCACAATAACGAGACCCCCCGGACCATTTTCTAGGCCTCGGGAAATGGCTAACGAAAGGTTAAGGACTTTTGCGGGGAACTTGACTCCTGGTGTATCCAGCAGTTTCGACATTACAACTCATATTTCGTTCGAACCCAACGCTCTAGACGTGATTTTATGCTTCGTAGAAGCTTTCGTTTCGCTTTATCACTCTCGACATGCTTTCGGTTGGAAGCAGAGCTCGGATTTGATAAATTTTACCAGCGATGGAAAAAATTCTACAGCTGAAGTGCTCGAATTCCACTCAAAAGGGCAAACCATTTGCGCTCTAGTTCAGCATCAAAAATTTCGTTCGAAATGAATTGGATCGGAAAAATGCATTATGTATTGGGCGATGTCGTCTCAAACGTCCTATGCCGGACTCCAATGCTACCGGCTAAAACCCACATCCTCTAACACCGGGTGAGTTACCGTTTTAGCATTACTCGGCACCGTTTTAGCATTACTTCGAGGTGGATCCCTTATTTGACGTAACTCACTCCTTTCATCAGTTTATGCCCGCGTCCAGACTCCGTTATTGAATCTTTTTTTGGCTTTTATCACACCTTCAACAAAGGCTTTTACTGTCTCCCAGATTGTCTCACTTTGTATAATGTTTTGAATGATAATTTCGCACAATAATGGGCAAATATCTAACCCTAAATCTCAATTGTTTCTAATTTTATTTCATATTCCAGCTCCGGTTGGATTAGACTCTGCTGTTTCTCGTTGAAATTCTTTCTTGCATTCAAATCGAAACAAGCAAACCAGAAATGTATCTGTGTATTGCGACATGCGGACGTCACTTCATTCAGGTCATTCCCGGTAGGAAAATACACCTCTTTGGATGCGATACTATCATCAATTTTTCCAGGGTTCGAGAGTGATTTAACCATTACCCACTCTTTACTCACATCTGTTTCAATTGTTTCCATTTTTCCTCTTCTGTTTCTGTACCAACAGGTTGATCTCCATTCTCTCTGGGATCAGTAGCGTTAGAACGGTGGAGCTTAGTCTCATTTTGCTTGTAGCTTTAATGATGTATCGGAAATTCCAATGTTATGTTCCTTTACCAACAGATTGATCTACACTATGAATTTTGGGATCTCCATTGCCTCTGAGATCAGTAGCGTTAGAACGGTGGACTTCATTACGTACATTCGCTAGTCCCGTTGCCTCTACTGGGAAATTTAGTCTCATTTCAGAAATTCTATCACCCGATATAAAGCGAGGTGCTGTAGCTTCGATGGAAAAGTCTCGGAAAAACCTTTCTACTACCCGAACTTCAGAGGGGTTGAGATATTCTCTAAACCGACGGTTGATGAATTCTCAACTTTTAGGCCGGTGATCTTTTCCATGATTAAGCAAAGTGTGACGTTCAGATGTTATGAAATCGGACGATCTGCTTGTGAAGAGATTATCTAATCCAAGGAAATGACACCAACGCTTATAACCTCTGGCTGTTAACTTGGACGGAATGCCACATCTCATGGTGGGCATTAAAATGTTCCACCAGGTTTTGCTGGATATATGCTCCGCTATAAGATCTCTCCATTGATAAAACATCCTCTACGCTCGATTTTTGTAGGAGCTTGGTGATATTTTCTTATAACAAATATTTTAAGACTTTATTCCTCTCATTATCTGAAGTGGCGCCACATATGAAAAATCCTTGGAACTAACAAAGTTTCATCTAGACATCGTGGAGAAAATTTTCAGTTGATTTAAGTTCCACATGGGTAAATATTGATGCCAAAATTATGTATCATTTGATACTGTCACATATTTGTTGCGTATAGTCGGACTAGAATGACTTTTGTCTTTATCTCATATTTTAAATTTTAAAATACCTAGATATTTTTATATTATTTATTTTGCACCACACTGTTATCAATTTCCAGTTCCCCTGCATTTTTTTTGTATTGACATTCCGAAGGGCTATTATTTTTTCGCACAGTCTTTGCTGACTTCTTGTTTTTGCAAAGGAAAACAACATTGATTTATTAAGGGTACGTTATTGAGAGAGCGAGAGACCATGACTTAAATGAAATGTCAAAAAGTCATAAAACGCAAAAACACACCAACCATCCACCCCCCCCCCCCTCCAGTGGGCAACAGGGACACTTGCTGGGAAAAAAGGTCATTTTTGTAACGTTCGTCCTTTTGTGGCGAAGTCAACAAACAAAGCAAGCGAGGAGGAAATTTGCAACCCCCAAATGAGGGGGAATAAGACAGAGTATTTAGCAACAACAATTATCTCTCAATTTGTGTGTGTGGGAAATCAATATATAAACATCATTAATAACAAAAACAAGGCATTTATTAATTTAAATTTTTCACAAAAATTAGTATTATGATTTTATTTATTCTATGATTTTTATTATATCTCTCAGACATTATAAACAGTTGTCATATTATTTTTTCTCCCATGCAATTAACTTATTCTTCAACTCCACAACTTAATACAGCTGGTGTTCACAATGTAGTTGTTGTTATTTTTTTCACAAACAAAGTAGGGCAGGCAATTTAAAATATCCTTTTCTCTGGCCAATACCCCAACAATATTTGTCTGTAATTCTCTTTCATTCTCTCTGCTTCCCTAACACATTTTTCTCATCCCCTTGATATTACGGGATTCTCATTGTATCTCTTGGTTACAGAGAACAAACATGGGCGCACACACAATCACAGTCACAGCACATAGAACATGACACAGGTGTATACAGAAGAATATCATAGAGAGCAAATTTTCATAGATATGTTATTTTTTCTTAAATTATTTAAATAAATAACAAATTTAATTACTTTGAAAATTAATTATTTTTTAATGTGTTTTGTTTTAAATATTTTTTCACATTTTCTCTTTTGTTTGTTTTCTTTTTTAAACCAAACACTTTAGGTACTGTTTGTTTTATTTCCGGCAATACAAACGAAGTAATGAGACAACACGACGAAAAATGTTTTTTTTTTTCCTTCCGCGCTTTTAACATCCGACACGACTCGTCTATGTGAAAAACTCCCGTCAACTGACTAGCTGACTTGGTTGGCTGGTGTTAACGTTACTCGCATGGTGGCTGTTTGGCCGTTACGTTACACTTCATTATGGCCTTTTTGTCTCTCCTTCCCTTTATTCTCTATATGAGAGATTTTTTTTCGAAAAGCCACTTGTGTAGCTCCTCTCTCTCTCTCTCATTTTTACTGCGCAACTCATGAGACGTGGTTTTCTTATAGCCAAATTTGATTATGTGTTGTTGCCTGCCTCACTGCTTGCCTGCTATTGTACTCTCTGTTTGAGCTGGGGTGGTGGGGGAGCCCACCATAATATAAATGTTTTTTCCTCTTGGGTTTTGTTTTTATACGGT